AACCAGCCAACCAGCCACTAGCCAACCAGCCACTAGCCAAACAGCCACTACCCAACCAACCATGATAGTCAGTGGCCATGCTAGCCAACTAGCCACCAGCCAACCAGCCAGCCAGCCACCAGCCAATCAGACAACCAGCCACTAGCCAACCAACCATGATAGTCAGTGACCATGCTATGTCAATCATCCTCCTGCGTCTTCCCACCTCGATGATACTCACCTGCGCGAGGACACGTATGTTTCCCGCCTTGCTAATCTCGAGCACCTCCCCGTTGGCAGTGCCAGCGAGCAGGTAGCTATTCCTAAGGCTCGCTGCCCGTATCGACGGCCTGTTTGACGTCAGACATCCGGGAGTGTCGGAAATGACGGACGACTGCTCAATGGCGTAGCATCGCCGACATGTGAAGGCGTCGTTGTCCCACAGCCGCACGCAGCCGTCCTTGCCGCATGTGACGAAGCCCTACGGAAGAGAGGCGACACGGTAGTACGGTTGGCCATCGTACTCGGAAATAATTATTTTTATGGCGGTAAAAATTATAGCACTTTTTATCCAATCAGGGACTTTGTTACACGTAATTTAACCGGGGGTGAATTCTCTTTATCGCTGTAGAACTAATTTGATAGCTGTAAAATTATAGTCCTTTTTATCCAATCAGAGACTTTGTTACACGTAATTTAACCGGGAGTGAATTCTCTTTATCGCTGTAGAATTACTTTGATAGCTGTAAAATTATAGTCTTTTTATCTAATCAGAGGCCTTATTACACAATTTAACCGCAATTAATTATTTTTACCTAGGTTATATTATCAGTTCTCTGTGATGCCATACAGTTGTATATCTACATCACACCATTTCATAAATCCCGTTTTCACTTTGATACAAACCCATCCATTTACTTAGATGCAATGCCATTACACCTAACGAATGATTAAAGCTGTTTATAACCTACGACCAATAGTATTGCAATAGTGGTACTGCTGTACTCTGTAGCTGTTGGCAGCATGGGCAGCATTGTGTAAATTATAACATTAGGGGCAAGAGCAAATTTACTAAAATTTTAAGGTGTACCGTCAAGCCCACCTTTACCTTTTCTACCAAGTAGATAGCAAATATAGGTCCTTCGTGGGCAGGTACACACACCTGTAAGTTGTTCTCAGACCAGATGTAAACATTACCCTTTTGTGTTCCTGAAATAACATTTTTACATTAGTTACGCGACAGGTTTGATATTTGTTCTCGTCGCCGTTTTCACTTGCAACAACAATGCAACAAATTTCCAACCCTAGAAAGACCCTCGGTCTGTAACCTTCAGCCGAAAAGTTGCGACACGCAACTTTGAAAGTAGATATAGTAGTGGGACCTACGTAGTAATTACGCAACAATACAGCTGTTAGTTTTAAAACATTAAAAAAATATTTCTAATGAATATTAAACAATGAAATTTTTTATGTAGCGTAATTTAAATCTATTTTAACTAAAAATGTGAAAGGAACCTAGGGGTAACGTGTCCCTTTAACTTATTAATACAATGTAGCCCCGTTATAACGCGATAATTGGGGTCCATAAAATGTCATCGCGAAAAATCGGGGTCGCACTAAATCGGGGTTATATATAATATACGTGGCTATATTATATATAACCCCGATTTAGTGCGACCCTGTTTTTTTCGCGATGACATTTTATGGACCCCAATCATCGCGTTATAACGGGGCTACAAAGGGGGACAAATTAATCGTAACACAAGAGCAAAAAAGGGGGTCCAACGACTCATATTTATATGCATTATATCCGCATTCACGTTAAATCGGGCCTCGTGAAATCAGGCTTGCACTGTAACAGTAGTATCGTGTATACCTGTGTAACAGGTGTCGGGCTGCACTCCGTAGACTGCACACATCATAGTATCTTGCTTGGCAACGTCGCCAAATACACCTCTCTTCGAAACGAATCCCCCACCTGTGCAAAGATACGAAACAGGTTATGCATAAAGGCACCTCATCTATTATTATGACATAATCATTATACCTGCATAATAAAGAGCGAGATAGCGACGGCGAGAAAGTCGTGTGCGCTCGTGCGTGTGTGTGTGCGCGCGCCTGTGTCCGCACGTACGTGTGCACGCGGGCGTGTGTGTCTGAGAGAAGCAGGGAAAGATAGATAATCGTGCTATAGTATTCATTCCTTTACACTCACATCATGCGCTCTCATCTGTCTCTCGCCTTCCACACCTCACGCACCACCGAATGCCTTGCGACCGGTTAGACACAACAGCTAGCACAATGTTGAGCACAATATGCGTGCACATTACCGGCCTGCGTCCAAAACTTGATGTGCTTGATACCAACGGTGACTAGCTTCATGCTGTCTTGTGGGTTCCATCTGACCATGAATACCTTGTCCTTGTGTGACCTTGAACGCGTGGACGAGAATCATTCTCAACAATCTATCTATCTATCTGTCTGTCTGTCTGTCCGTCCGTCCGTCCGTCCGTCCGTCCGTTCGTCCGTCCGTCCGTCCGTCCGCCCGTCCGTTCGTCCGTCCGTCCGTCCGTCCATCCATCCATCCATCCATCCATCTATCTATGTATCTATCTATCTATCTATCTATCTATCTATCTATCTATCTATCTATCTATCTACCTACCCATATATATATCTACATATATATATATATATATATATATAATAGCATAAAGTCCGATGTTTTCGCGATGCGAAGTAGAAGAGTTAGCATAATGCCGTACCTAGTAGAAGCTAGTTTCTCTCCTTTCTTCCAATCCCATACGACGATAACGTGGTTGTCATCCAAGGCAACCGATGCCAGTTTTTTACCATCGGCTGCAAGCGAGCAAAATTTCAGAATAACGAGTCTTTTCAACGCAAAGTTTCCGTGAATTGAATTCGAACTCTTTCTCTTGAATTGGGTCCGTGCTTGCAAACAATTACGAGCATGGTTTGTGTATGATAATTGCGCACGGAATAACAAAAACGTTGTTTTCAGGTTTTCCTGCTGCCTCCGTGAATATGTAATTATATGAAGGTCACGAATGTGAAATGTACCAGAGAAGTCGACTGCGCACACTCCTCGTTCATGCTCCCCCTTCAGAATGGAGATGGTCTTTAGGCTTCCAGCGTCCCACACGTGGATTGGTGGGGATCGACCAACCTACGACAGATACATATATAATTAAATAAATCTCACTCACAAAGCGTAAAATGAAAAAAAGTAAAATCAAATATCACGATATAATAACGATATAATATATAAGCAGTGGCGGCTAGCCGTTAATGTAATCGGTTGCAAGCCAGGTCGCAAGCTATGGGTTAATGGTTAGTTAAATTTTAAACAAGTAGATCATTTTTTATGCCACCTTACAAAAGCAGTGTAGTTATACTACGTAAGTAATGCCAGGTCCTGAGGAGCAACTTGACCGCTTTCTTCCCCCACAAGGGAGCGCAATATGTAGTTTAACATTAAAAAACAACTTCCATTGTGAACTGCACAGTGCACAATGAAAGTTGTTTTTTAATGTTAAACTAAATATTGAGCTCGGGAACTAGTCATTATGTGGTAAGGATTAATCCGTGTTTTTTGGCTTGTGTGCGTGCGCGTGTCTGTGTACGTGCGTGAGTGTGCGCTTTCGTGTGGGCTTTCGTGTGCGTGTGCGCGTCTGTCTAAATTGCAAAAAATGAAATCGTAAGATTTAATTTAAATATACATAATAATGATGAAATAATACGTATTAATAGCGCGCGGACCGCGCGCGAAGTCTATCTACGTTCTGCATGAGAGAAGCGCAGAGTAGAAGAATTGCATTTAATTCTGGAACTAGTTCTGCTATCACTACACACACACCTGTCCCGTGGCGACGACGTCATTGGTCGGGTGGACGGCGAGGCAGAGGATGTCGTCGCTGTGAGCGACGTAGAAGCGCTGCGTGCCCGCGCCCGTGTTGAGCACGATGCCGACGCCGGCGACGTGGTACACCACCTCGCCCGTATGCAGGTAGGCGAGGTTGTGTCGGCAGTCGTAGCCACGATACCTGTACGTGCATACACGCGTGCGTGCGCGCGTGCGCGGGGAATTCAGTCTGTTGTACTGCCGATTGCGCGGGGCAACACACACACACACACACACACACACACACACACACACACACACACACACGAGACGACGCGACGACGACACGACGGAGGAGAG